GCATTACAATTAGTTTCCATGTCTTTCTCTCCTATTAGACCAGTGGTCCTTAAATAAACAGGCATGGGCGCCTGGGTGGCGCAGTCGGTTAAGCGTCCGACTTCAGCCAGGTCACGATCTCGCGGTCCGTGAGTTCGAGCCCCGCGTCGGGCTCTGGGCTGATGGCTCAGAGCCTGGAGCCTGTTTCCGATTCTGTGTCTCCCTCTCTCTCTGCCCCTCCCCCGTTCATGCTCTGTCTCTCTCTGTCCCAAAAATAAATAAACGTTGAAAAAAAAAATTTTTTTTTTTTTAAAATAAATAAAAATAAACAGGCATGCTTGAGGATCTGATAAAAGTTTTGCACTCTTTCTTCTCCCCTCAGTCGTCAGGGAACAAACAAACAAGGCACACATACTCAAAGAAATCCACGTACTTTTTAGGGAGTTTAATGTTAAGAACACTTGCACTGGAGAGTAAGCAACTACAAAAGACAGATGTAGAATCTTAAGCTTGCAATTCCTGAGAGAACCTGACACACAGTAAGTGCTCAACATATATTCCATGGAATTTAGGTCGAGATGCCTACCGTATGAATTTCAAGGTGTAACATGAACACATCTATTGGGACTTCAGACCTAGAACTGCATGCTATTAAACACATGTGACAGAAACACTGATTAGCAGAGTACAGCTCCACGGCAACATTTCAGATCTTAGCTCCTCACACTACATTAGTCTTCCCTGGCCAACTGCGCAAGTTAGGAGAGGTCACGCATACCTGATGGCCTCTTACCAGCTGCCCAAGGCCCTATCAACACACTAAGGTAAACTGACTGTCACCTTTCACGACAGGCTGTCAGGAGGCTAATCCCACCTCATGTCATCTTTCCTCTCGTCAGTCTCAGCCAAAGATCCAAGACTCCTGGGCTATCCATGATCACTGACGTGCACATCTGCCTGTCAGATCCAATCCCCTACTTTCTATCCCTCCCAGGTCCTTCCAGTACATTCTCTGGGACGATGCCGCTCACACTCATCTGTAAGCGCACCTCTTCTCTGAAGGTCCTCTTCACCCGGTAATCTTCACAGAAACTGGTTCTCCTGCCACCTCCTCACAGGGTTTTCTTCTTCTTCTTGCACCCCCTGTGCCTCGAAAGCGGGAAGTATGCGTTCCTTGCTCCTCGCTGCAGCTCAAACCAGGTCTCCTCCTTCCTCCTTCAAATACCCCAGTCCCACGGAGCCTCACGCCTCCCAGCGGGCTATGAGCCTTCCCTCTCTCCTCCTCGCTGCTGACATCCGTTAACCCGACCTCATTCACGGACGACTTTCATTCCCGACTTGGTCTTCTTAGTAACGTCACTACTGAATCTGGTGCCTGCCTTTCTCCACTCCCATAACCCTGTTTCACGTCAGCCACCCAGCACTACAGGTATGCCCCAGACCTCTTCACCCATGAGTTGCACCATTTCCAAAATCTGACCTTCCAGCATCTCCCTCTCTCACTACTGCTTCGCTCACTCAGCAATCCCACTGCAGAAATCCTTCGGCCTCACCGAATCCCTCATCATCCACCAACCATGGTTTCACCCCCTCCAGTCTCCATTCACATCCCTACCATCAATCCACGACCCATCATGAGTATCTTGCAAAGACCATCACGTATCTCACTGCTCTAGTCCTTCTTGGTACCAACCTGGCAAAACCCCAACCCCGACCGACTCCAATCATTTGGTCTGCCTATTCCAGGAACTATACGTTGCCGGGGGGGAGGGGAGGGGATGGGGGTCAATCCCACAACTGTGCTACCTGCTCTTTCAATTCATGGTCAAAGGTCCCAAGGAGGCACTAAGCACTACTCACCAACCTGAGTTTTCTTAGCTGGCTGACCACCTCTGAGACTGCCATTTGACATCGCCTCTTCTCTGCTCAAGCATCATGCACTGCCCCCTCTGCCCTACTATCAGTTCATAATCCCACTTCACTCTTCAATTAGAAAATAGAAGTCATCAGACAAAAATTCGTTTTCCAATACCAAATCTATTAATGTATCTGCACGTACACTGTTGTGTCTCCCATTACATGAACTCAATAGCCCTGCTCCCTATGAGTAGTCTGGCTGCCATTCTCGTTTACCTTCTGGAGGACCGAACTTCTTCAGCCATTCCCTCTTTTCCCCACATCAAACCATGTATCACTGATGTGCCACTCCTATTAGCACACACAGATCCTCTAGAATTTCCCGATTTAAAAGAGCCCTCTCTTAATCCTACTATCCCCGCAAGTAGTCCATCATTTCTATGTTCCCCTTTCATCGCAAAAGTTCTCAGAGGATTTGTCCACATGTGTCTCCACTTTCTTGCCTCCCATTCAGACTACCAAACCTGGCATCTTTGTCTACCAGCCCACTACTAGTGTGTTCATCAAGGTCACTGGCAAACCTCTACGCAATTTAAGCCAATGGCATTTCTCGGGCTTCCACTGACAGAAACTGTAGCAGCATTCGATGAAAATAAGTGCTCCAGCCTCCCTGAAATGCTCTCCTCCCTCTGCTTCTGTGTCACCTCCATCCTAGTTTTCCTTGTAACTGGCCACTCCCCAATCTCCTTTGCTATTTATTTTCTTCCACCTCAAATGTGGCAGTGTGCTTCAGCAGGATTTTTTTTTTCCAGGTAATCTCACCCGTTCCACAGCTATAAATATCACCTGATCTCTGATGGCCTCATCCTTGAGTCCTTCCTTTACTTTGTATCCCACATCCGATCTATCACGAAGTGCTGCATTTTTACCTCCATTCTATTTCTCAAACTTCCCTTCTGTCTCCACTGTCACTAAGACCTCTAACTAGTTTGTACGTTTTCCCAGTCTCAAATTTATTCTGAGATGGTTTTTTAACAACCCTAAAGTCCTTCCCCAACTCAGTTATACCCTGTGACATCACTCTACTTCCCTCAAAATGCTTACTGCTCTCTATGCCTGCTAGTTACTTATTTACTTGCTTTGCCCATCCCTGTCTTTCCTCCTCATCCCCGCACCAGACTATGAATTCCATGAAAAAAAACAGACCTTGTCAGTTCTGGTCACAGTTATCCTCCAATGTGTCCACAGTGCCTAACACATGGGCGGGGGGGGGGGGAGGGGGAGGAGGGGAGGTCAACAAAAACTTAAATGAATGAAGTATGGCTAGTGTTAAATGAGCTTAGTGAACTGGCTACACCATCAACAGTTATCTATTCTTATGCATTTCCCCTTGCTTGGGAGAGCTCTTTGAGGCTCGATCCTTTTTTGTGTCCTTACTATATATTATTAGCACGTGTCTTAAACACATAGTGGTTGTTCCATAAAGAACTGATGAAACAAATAAGTTAAAATTAAAAATATGTGGACTCAGCATATTCCTATTTGTAAGGCATGAGAAGTACAAAGACATTTATTCTCCATTTGATGAAAAACATTTATAAATACAATTTGGGGAAGGAAATAAAAAAGTTCTCCCTGCCAAAAAGCTTCCTGTACCACAAGTATATTAGTGGCCTAAGAGAAACTCTTTTTCTAGTCAAATCCACCTTCACTTCCACTTTATTTAGATTACAAAGTGGAAATAAAGTAGCTTGCAGACAGAAGTGAATGAGTTCATGTGAAAGCTTTTTGCAGATAGACCCAGGTTTCAACAGGTGAAAAGGTATTTTTAATACAATTGCTTATACTGTGGCTATATCTTTACTAGAGACATTCATCACTTACTGATATCTCAGTCGTATATAGGATGAAACACCATGAATTCACGGGAAGAGTTCTTCATAAATCTAAAAAATAAAGAGAGTCTGCTAAATGTGGTATAACAGATTTACTTCTGTTTTTAATTATGGTGTTTACCTTCTATGTCATGCCATAAGGTGAACACATGAGCAGCAGCAAGTAGCATAAGAAATGAACCTGTTTTTAAAAAGAAAACCTGTCCTAATTTTTGGAAGCTGAAGCTTACATAGAACACACAGAGATAATAAAAGTCAAAAATATTGTACCAAATCGGTCACAATCGGGCTAAAATATGCAGTTTAGGAAATAAGATTTTAAAAACTGACATTAGCTTATGTTAATGAGAATCATAAAAGAGGTGAGATCTTAAATTACTCGTTAAGGATGGGCAGGACCCGAGAGACCAAAACAAAAGGTATTTCAAACAGGGGAATAACATGACCAAAGGCACAAAAAATGTACAGAGTGTTAGTGGAAAAAGCAGCTGGGCACATTTTCATACAAGCAAAAAAATGAAAGAAAAATTCTAATGAACAGAAAAGGGCCAGATAAAGGCCTTGGACTCTGGATCTAGTTCTTCAGGCAACAGAGAAACATTTTAAGATCCATTATCAAGTAAGATGACATAATACAGGAAATTCTGTATTTTAGGAAAATCAGTTGGTATGGATGATTGATTAGGTAAGATACAGAGAGCAAGGAGATGAAAAGGAAGACTATTTAACAAACTACTTCCTCCTTTCGACTTTGCTGGTTCTATTTTGAGACTAAATGCCTTTGGTCTCAAATGTACTTTGTGACTATATGACATGAATTCATTAGTTCTTATCTAAGTAACCAAGGCTTGAAATTCTACATGTTTGATTCCTTCCTTTACTTTTTTTGAACAGTCTGTTACCAACTCCTGATTATTTTTCTCAGCCTCAAAATGCTTTCAAATGTATCATTCCCTTTCCATTCCTACCACCAGTACCTTAAAGCAGGGCCTCATTACCTTACATTTGGGTTTCTCTGTTTCTCTGCCTCCAACCTTTCCTCCCTTTCATCTCAACCTAAACATTACTGCCAGGTTAATTATCCTTTGCTCAGAAATCTTGGAAGGTTTCTTACTGCTTGAAAAAACAAAAACCTGAATGCCTTAACCGGCGGTGGAGGGCGCCAGCTCACCACTGTGTCAAGACCCAGTTCAAATCCCACCTCCTTACAAATTCCTCTATCATTAGTCTAGACTACATCGGCTCTGCCCAACAAAAATATCATGCAAGCCATAAATGTAATTAAAAATTTTATTCCCAGCCACGTTGAAAAGTTTTTGGGTGAAATTACTTTTAATGTATTTTATTTAACCCAATATATTCAAAATATTATCATTTCAGCAGGTAATCATTATTAATAAATTATTGAGATATTCTACATTGTTTTTCTTACCAAGTCTTTGAAATCCAGTAAGTATTTTATATTTACAGCATATTTCAAATCAATCTAACCACAATTTCAAGTGCTCAACAGCCACACGTAGCTCGCGGCTGCAGTAACAGCACTAGGTCTAGACTCTAAAACCCATGCTTTCGTCTGTAGAGCACTGTGCTCTGCCACTCCTTAAGGTGCAGGCTGGCACCATTCTATTCTGATGTACATGTCTTAGGCTTGTTTTTTTTTTTTTAAATGTTTATTTATCTTTGAGAGAGAGACAGAAAGCGCACAAGCAGGGGAGGGGCAGAAAGAGGGAGACAGAGAATCTGAAGCAGACTCCAGGCTCTGAGCCGTCAGCACAGAGCCTGATGCAGGACTCAAACTCACCAACTGCGAGATCATGACCTAAGCTGAAGTTGGAGGCTTCACCGACCTAGCCACCCAGGTGCCCCATCTTAGGCTTGACTTTAATGGTATCACCAACCATTTAGTCCCTTGGCCCAAAACCTCTGGAGTCACCCTCCCTCCACCAAATTGCTGCCACCAGTTGAATCCTATTCAGAAAGGTCTCTCCAGGCACCTAGGTGGCTCAGTCGGTGAAGCGTCCAACTCTTGATTTCGGCTCAGGTCACCATCTCACAATTCGTGAGATCAAGCCCCATATTGGGCTCTGAGTAAATAGCATGGAGCCTACTTGGGATTCTATCTCCCTCTGCCCCCGCCCCCCACGAGCTCTCTCCCTCTCTCAAAATAAATAAACTTTTAAAAAAAGTGTTTCTTTCACACCCATTACTATCCTACTTCAATTGAGGCACACATTATCTTACCTGAATGACTGCAATTTCCTCTTACCTAGTTTTCCTATTCCAAGTTGATTCTCTATACAGCTGTCAGAGACCACCCTGTGTGTGTGTGTGTGTGTGTGTGTGTGTATACACACACACACACATACTCACACCCTTTCCTTGTGCAAAGTACGTGCACTGGCTCCCCTCTAACTACAGGATAAAGCCTGAACTCCTTAGCTGGAAATCAAGGTCCTTCACAAGTGGCTCTCAATCTCACTCTTCCTTTGCCAACCACCCTTGCACTGCATGTCCCAGCATATTTATCTTCCCACTCTCCCTCAGCGCGCCAAAACTTCTCAAATCTCTGCATCCAGGAATGATCTCCTCCCGAGCCTAGTAAATTCCTTGTGACCCTTCATGACCCAGCTCAAATAGCTATTCCTTTGTGAAGACTTTTTGGTGGCCTCGGGCGGTTTATTTTCATTTAGCACAAACAGCACTAAGAATGTTTGTTGAATGGACGTTGAATGTATAGGTGAAGAGCAAAACTGATCATCTTTGTATCGCCAGTATCAAGCACAGCACTCAAATCCTAACCTAACCACAGTACCCTAACCAGGTCATAAATTGCTTCCTTGAGTCTGACGGACTCATTCATCCCAATTACCAATTACAGTTACTTGCTCTCTCAATAACGACCTTGCATGTTGATGACAACCAAAAGGAACTACACAAAATCCAAGGGAAAACGAAGGAATCTGGGTTGGCCTTTGAACTCACGTGGTACAAAAAAGCCTCTTCCTGGTTAGTTCAGAAAGAGAAGCGGCTTCTTAAAACAAAACAAAAAAAAAAATCACAAGGGTTGCAAAATAAAAAAATTGGGGATGGGTAATTGATAACTCAGGTTCGGCAGGTGGCAGGAGGCCACACTTGCCAGTGTTAAGGCTGGTGTGACCTCCAGTTTACTTAAGAGCTAGTAAACCAGTGACGGTGGAAGCGCTCGAGGGCAAAGCGAGGGCTGGGAGGGTGGGGAGGCTGGGGGGCGCGAGGCGCGGAAGGCCAAGACAATTTTAATAAAGCATGGTTAACATCTTAAAAGGTCCCCGGAGTCGATTAACTAAAAAGGACGCCTACTTCGTGCCCAGTGCTTAGCAGTCTCGTGGCCTTTGAACCCGAGGCCACGGGAAGACCCCCAGCGAGGAGTCCAAGAACACGGTAACCACGAGACCAAAGCTGGCGTCAGATTAACTCCTCCAAAAAAAAAAAAAAGGGGGGGGGGCAAATAGGAGTGAATCGTACGGACTGCCACAAAGACCGGGAGCTCTAGACCCCCGGAGAAATCACTTCACTTTCCCTCGCTGAGCACTTCTGCCAGGTCCGGCCAAGACAGTCGCAACCGAAACCCCAGGAGCACGTCCTCAGCAGAGACCCGGCCGGAGTTGGAGCCAGGGTCTCCCCTGAGGGCCGAGGGCGCCCCCTCCCCCACCAAAGGGCTCACTCCTTTCCTCCGCCCTCACTTGCCTCGTCAGTCCTCCCCCAACGCCGTCCACTGCCCTTCCCAACCCCTAGTCGAATCCAGGTTCAAGAGCGAGAAAAGCTGATGCTCGCTCAGCAGCACCCGTGACGATCAGCCAGCAGAAGGCCCCCCGATGGCGGCCGCCATTTTGAAACTGGAGGCGAGCCGCTGAGGCGGGGAAGGCCCAGGGCAATACCATCTTCGAGGGGTAGAGACGAAGCTGTGGGAAGGAGATGGCGCTTTACCCCAACAAGTCCCGTCATCTTGCACCGAAGGTGTAGTTGTAGAAAATTTATAATGTGTGAAAAGCTAAAATAAATACGAGAAGAGTCAAACATGAAAAGGAAGAAGGGGTTTGGTTTCCCACCGCCACCCCTCTCTTCGAGCGGGCGTGGCGAATGGCAGGTCCCAAGGCCGCAGCTTCCGCCGGCGCCGGTGGCTGGGCTCGCCTCTGCCCTGGGTCGTGGGGTCCTTTTTGGCACCAAGGCCGCAGGTGGGTCCCGGGTCCAGGAGCGCCGAGGCGCCCCGTTGTGTAGGCAGGGAAGGTCCACCTCTAGGAAAGCCCTCGGCGGCGGTACGTGTAGGCGGGGGGGGGGGGGGGGGGGGG